GATCGTGTCATTCACTGGCTTAAAAATTTTAATAGCTACTTATTGACCTTAATAGAAAAGTCCAAATCATTTAACGGAGCTAAGAGACTCTCTAAGATTTAGCTTCTGCTTCTTGCCATTCTTTATCTTTTGCCACTTCCTCCCTCACAGTGCCAACAACACTGAACTACTTTCATTTCCTTAAAATGGAGCCAGGCTTTTGTCTGTGTTGCACCTCAGCCTGAAACACCCTCCCCCAGCTTGATTAAGGCCTACTCAGCCGTTAGATCTCAAAGGAGACAGCAAGTGTTCTTGGACGTTTTCCTAGACCCTCTGAGACTGAGTCAGTTGTGGTCATGCCCACTCACCCTTCTTACTTAACTCTTACTGTAATACTCACTAAATTACATTGCTTGTCCCTGGATCCCCTGTTAGACTAGACGTTTCCCAGTACTCCTGGAACCCAGCAAAAATTAAGCACTTGACAAAAATCCATTAAAAGAATGAATAAATGAGTTGAGTGTTTTTCTTTTCTTTCTATTAAATTGTTCACTATCTCTTATATCATTTAAAAAGATGAGTGTGCATTTTTTCTCATATACTTCTCCAATGTGCTTAAGAAGTAAAAAATGGAATATGAACAGCTGAAATTGATGGGGAAATTCAGCAAGGTAAAGTTTATATCATTGGGCTTAACCTCTTATAGCCGTCATTTAGGAAAAATAGATTAAGTTCCATATATAGATTCTCAGTCACTGAGCATTCTCCTACATTTTTTATATTAAAAAAAATCCTGGGCTTCCCTGGTGGCGCAGTGGTTGAGAGTCCGCCTGCCGATGCAGGGGACACGGATTCGTGCCCCGGCCCGGGAAGATCCCACATGCCACGGAGCGGCTGGGCCCGTGAGCCATGGCCGCTGAGCCTGCGTGTCCGGAGCCTGTGCTCCGCAACGGGAGAGGCCACAACAGTGAGAGGCCCGCGTACCGCAAAAAAAAAAAAAAAAAAAAATCCTGTGTTATGCTTTTACCACAATAGTATATTGCAAAGCTGAGCACTCTGGCTTTTGACCATTTGTCTTGCAGATGGCCTTGAATTGTGATATCGCAATAATTAGAATCTAGACTTCATGGTGACTAACAGAGAACAGCAACTCAATACAGCTATTCCCTTCTCAGCTGTTAACATAGGGTCCTCAGGGGATAGTGGCTGTCCCTTTCCCAAAAAAGTAGCAGCAATGTATCTGCAATGGGTACATAAATGTCTTCTGAAATGAGAAGAATAAAACTCCCTCTGCATCTTGACCCAAGTAAGACCCATTCTTCTATGGGGATCAATCGGATTTTACTATAAGAGAGAAAGAACAGCATGGAAACAGATAGGCTATAAAGTATGGTGGTTAGGGTCACAGGCTTTGGACTCAGACATTTGGATTCAAATTCTTCTGCTGTAAGCCTCTCTAAGCTTCAGTCCTTTCACATACAATGGAGATAATACCTACTTCATCTGATATTGGGGAGATTAAGTAAAATATTGGATGTAGAGTTCTTAACACATAGTATACTCTCAGTGCACCCCTGGAAGCTGTCACTGATGAGTTCTCATGAAACTAGGACAATAAGGGAATCTGATCAAAAGAGTCTTAGGAACCAGGATATTTATAGAGGGATGGGGGTTAAGAAGAAAGGGGGGAGGTAAGAGGGGATGAGGGGAGTGTTTCCATTTTCTCCAAAGTAGTTTTTATCAAACCACAGCTTCCAATCAGGGGTTTGAAAATCTGGGCAATTGTCCTAGGAGCCAGCAGTGCAGAAATACATTGTGATAAGCCTAGTTATATTATGGAAAATATCCTCAGCACGCTGCAGGGGAGAGTTAGCAGGAAGATCCACGGCTAATGTACAGTTTTTAAAGGACTCGCAGAGCTCACTGGGGCACAACGATGTTCTGTGCCTTTGTCTACTCATAAACAGATAATAAGCACAGTGACTCACTTGTCAGGCAGAAAACTTGATTAACCTTTTATATTTTTCCCCCAGCAATAAGCAGAATCACAGTAAATCATCTCCTCAATGCAATCCTGGAGTAAACTGGAGGTTAATTTCTCATTAACTCATTTCAAATTTCACATGGTTAAAACATACTGCCACATATAGAACGCATCAAATGCACTTTAGAACTTTTCCTGATGTAAGAATTACAAAACTGCATAGCCATAAATAAAACATTATATTACCTATGCTCACATACAAAGGCTGAAATGATCAATATGAGATTAGTACTTTGTCATTCCCCATACACTTTTTTTTTTTTTTTTTTTGGTACGCGGGCCCCTCACTGCTGTGGCCTCTCCCGTTGCGGAGCACAGGCTCCGGACGCGCAGGCTCAGCGGCCATGGCTCACGGGCCCAGCCGCTCCGCGGCATGTGGGATATTCCCGGACTGGGGCACGAACCCGTGTCCCCTGCATCGGCAGGCGGACTCTCAACCACTGCGCCACCAGGGAAGCCCTCCCCATGCACTTTTATATCTAATATTTCATTTGTACTGAATGACAGATACCATCAGATGGGCAAGGGAAATATTATCTTCATATTGAAGATGAGGAAACTCCGTCTCTGAGAGATTATCTGGCTTTTTCAAGGCCACAAAGCTAGCAAACAAAGGAACAAACACTCGAGCAAGTCTTATGACCCCAAACCAAAATGAAGCCCCAGTGGGCCTCACTGTTGCTGTTGTCATGTATGTTCACAATCCCACATGTTTCAGAGGATTTCAATTATAGATGTTTAGCGGGCAATGCTGCAGTATAGGAGTTTAGACAAGGGCATACAGTCAGACATCTCATGGCCCATGAATAGGGTGCAAATGTAACTGAGAAACTGAATACTGTCTGGACCCAATCTTGATCCTTGCCTGTCCAGCATTGTGCTCTGAGAGGCTGACCTTATGATCCACAATGATGAGATTCCTGCTTCTGGCCTCCTGATGGGTCACCCAATAGAGACCTTCTACAGAAAATTGGATGGAGGGAGGAGAGGAAGGTTTGGGAATTTGTTGTTTCCCCAGCTCCCATTTTGAGACTGTATCCTCACTAAAGGTCATAGCTTCAGTCCAGTTGCTCTCTCCAAACAGTCCTCTGTGCCTCCTGGTTTAGGGGTCACCCCCTCCTCTTGCCCCTTCAGGGCCAGGGGGGTCAGGGAACCCAGACGTTACTACCCTCCAGGTACTGCACCATCTCTGTACCTCCCCTACACCCTTTGCTTTTGTAAATATCTCTTTATTAAACTCTCTTAGATTATCTGAATTAGAGTGAGCCCCTGTTGCCTGCCAGGATCCTTCCTGACATTACCTTCCAGAGTGAACATTGTGCAAGGTGTCTATTCTCTATGAAAAGAAGACCATTTTCTCCCCTTTCATAAGATTAAATAAACTAACCTTCCTTTCAATTGAGAATAATACAAGGTGTGTGTCTGATGTCACAGGTGTATCTGGACTACACAGCCTAGAAGGATGCTGTGATAGAAACAGACTCTTTTCCCTCCTCCTTTTGGTAACAATATTCTGATTTTCCATTGAGAAGCCACTCTCTCTTCTCCTTTCAGTCTCTGAGCTTAGGGTGTGACTGTCTTATACTCCAGGAGCATGTGTCATCTATGAGAGAAACTCTAACCACAGCGACTGGTTTAAAGCAGTGAACAAAGGCAGGGGAACCAGCATCTCGAGTCAGGAAAGAGACTCTCTCTTCCCACTGGATTTTCTAAGTTGTGGAACCTCAGCCTGGAGGTGCCAGTAGCCATCTTTGACATGATATAAAAGCCAAAATAGCAAAAGGTGGAAAGGAATGATGGTGAAATATGTCTTCCTGGCAAACTGAGTTGAGCATTTGAATTCAGCCATACCCGAAATTGCCCCTGGACTTTACTTCTCTGGGCCAATAATTTTTTTTTCCCCCTCTGACAGTTTGATTTGTTGCCTGCATCCAGAGGAGTCTGCAGTAAAGGAAAAACCTGACCTGGGAGGCTTGAAAATTATTCCAGTCTCTGTCATTTAGAAGTTGTGTAAATTATTTTACCTTTGTGAGCTCAGGTTCCTCATCCATAATAGGAGGTTTTTGTTCTAGATGTTCTTCAAATGCCTCTCTAGAGCAGAATATGGAGAAGGAGGAAAAGAGGCCAAACTTCCAACTCAGTTGGAACTAAGAGGAAAGTCATGTCTCAAAGCGAGCTCATTCTCTGTTCCCAGCACATCTAGGACAGCAGACAGGTAGCCCTGCTCTCCATCCAATAGCAGCTACTACAAAGTATGACCATACCCAGCCCTTGTCAGCTCCATGGATATTCCTAGGAGCTCTCATCTTGTCTTCCCTTCTTTAAATCAACCAAGTACACCACGTAATTTTCATGATCTCTCTCTTCAAATCTAATTAGCACATCGAATGACCAAATAAATATTCAATGCCTACTGTAAGTAAGCTGAGGTGCTAGGTATTGTGGTTATTAGCATTCTATCTTTGTGTGTATCCTCCTTGGGAGGGGCAATTCATTTCAACAGATGAATGCCAGAGGGGGGAAAAATGAGTTTTGAAGTAAAGAGGAAGGAAACTTTTGAAGAGTAGGTCATCCTCCTTACTATCTATCCATCCAATCTTGCCACACACAGTGTCCTGGATACTGTTTCTGGGCTGTTCCCAGTAGCTCCATTTTCTGCTATTATTTTCCAGTGGAAGAAACTTTAGCTTAAATAAACTAGGCTTATACAAAATGAATGTAACAGCAAAATCCTACACACTTTGTCACATTTTTGTTGAGTTTCAAGGACACATTTTTACATGGACATTTGGATGTGGAGAAGAAACTATTATTATCTTCTTTCTCCCCCCATTCCCACTGAAGGTGGGGAAAAAACTGAAATTTGCACATTGAGGGTATTTCAGGCTCTGCTGCTTAAACAGTCTTTTAGAGATTTGTTTAGTATCTTTTGGATAAATACTCAAAGTCAAGATTCCTGTTTCCTCTTAGGACTCACCTTAGATATCCACAAGATGACTCCTGGGTGGAAGGGAAGCTTAGCTGTCCTCTTTGTGGCGAGGAAAGGGGTGATGTCCACCTACGGGTCCTGATGCTGTCCCCTGGTCCCCTCTAGCCTTTGAGATGATGTCCTGTCCATCCACTGGGGATCCTCCTGGTAGAAACTGCTGACACTGCAGTCAGCATGACTTGCGATGTGGTGGCCTACTGGGGTCCAGGGTTTCTCCGTCACATTGGTCCTCACTAAAGCTGCAGATTCTCTGGGTCTCAGCCACCTCCCTCCATCCTGGGTCTATGGTTTTCCACCATATAGCTTCTGCCACAGGGTCAGTTTCCCCCTGCTCTTCCCACCGCCCTCCTCACTCTTCCACACCTTTCCACCTCTGGGAGCATGTCAGAGTGTTTGGATACCATCCCTGCCCCACATGAGCTGACCGTTCCCAGATACCTTTTTTTTTGCATCCTCTTGGCATACTACCATGTCTATTTTTCTCTTCTGTTGCCATTTTCTCTTTTTATTTTTTGCAGGAGTTCTCTGAAGGTGGCCTCCTCCTCAGGCCCCAAACAGGAAAGCCCCCTCTGCTTCTGCCTTTCCTCCTTGACCTCTCTTGATTTGACCCCAGGGGCATGTCCTCTCTCTTGCTCTAGCTTTCTCTACCTCATGGCTTCCTCCTAGAATCAGAAGGTATGTCTGCTTCAGCTTTCTACCCAGTGGGACATCTCTTAGTGATATCTTCTTTCATGAACTATGACTCTTCGATACCTCCCTCTTTTTTCCTGGGCAGTAAACTGAGCTTTAATGATGGATGGGCTTTGAGAGAACATCAGTCATATGAGAATAGAAAGTGTAGCTGTTTAATATCTTCTAAATGTGATTCCTGTTACATCTAGAATGTGCAAAACTTTATGTTCATTTCTAGCAAGGGAGCTGAGCACGGGCTTGGAAGAGATACAGAGGTGAATAAAATGTGGTTTCTACTCTCCAACAGCTTCTGACCTGGTGGAAGAGATACAGGAGAGCACTATTGGCAAAAGAACCAAATGTAGCCTCCACTTCAGTGCCGTGAGACCAGAGAGGTGAAAGGCTATACAGGCCCTTAAAACCTGGCAGCTTTCAGTCTAATTGCTTCTGTTCAATTCTGCGAGTTAGAAACCACAGCCAGAAACCTACCTGGACACAGTTTTTGAAACGTAATGATTTCTGTCTCTTAGTAAACTGCAGGTAGGGACTGGCCTTGGGAGTGGGAGGGACCCACAGATATACTCCCTGCCTGCAGGCTGTATACATTTGTACCTTCACTGTGGGAGAGGCAGTACTTTTTCTCTGGTAGGTGGTAATTGACAAAGAAGATCCTGGGAGAGAGTGGCATGAGATTAGAGCTGCGGTCTCAGTGTGTAGCTCGCCCACATCAGGGTTACTGGGAAACATGTCAGAAATGCAAATTCTCAGACCCCACCCTAGCCCTACTGGAACCGAATCTCTGGGAATTGGGGCTTTAAAGGAAAAAACATACCCAGTTTTTCCTTTACTATGTGTGTTCCATGTGTCTTCTTTAGCACTCACACAAAACACCACTTCTGACACTTCTGGTCACCAAATGTGTGGAGGTTTTTCCCCACACCAAGCAAATCCCGGCAACACCAGCTGGGTGTCCTGCAGTTTAACTCAATTCTGATACTATCTACATGGAGAGGGAGTCAGATCCCACACGTTAAGGGGTCAGTCCCAGAAGACGGCTCCTGCCTCACTTCAGAGGCCAGTCACAAGTAGCAGGAGCCCAGGTTACCCACAGCTTCTGTCCAGTTGGACTTCAGATCAGAGGTTCCTATAACCCTCCTTCAGGTTTGATTAATTTGCTAGAGTGGCTCACAGAACTCAGGGCAACACTTAGGTTTACCAGTTTACTAAAGGATATGAAGAAGGATACAGATGAACACAGGTGAAGAGACACACAGGGCGAGGCCTGGGAGGGTCCTGAGCGCAAGAGCTTCTGTCCCTGTGGAGTAGGGGTGTGTCACCCTCCTGCCATGGATGTGTTGCCCAACTTGGAAGCTACACACCCCATACTTCGGGGATTTTTATGGAGGCTTCCTCATGTAGGCATGATGAACTATGAACTCCATTTTCAGCCCTTCTCCCTTCTCAAGAGGAAGGAGGGTGGGGTTGAAAGTTCCAAGCTTCTAATCATGGCTTGTTCTTTCAGGTGACCAACCTTCATCCAGGAGCCATTCAGGAGCCCACCCAGTCACCTCATTAAAATTCCTATCACCAAGGAAATTTCAAGGGTTTCAGGAGCCCTGGTTCAGGGATGGGGTCAAACGCCAAATATTAGAACACGAGATGCTCCTGGTGCTCTTGTCACTTAGGAAATTACAAGAGTTTTAGGAGCTCTGTGCTAGAAACGAGGATGAAGACCAGATATTTCTTACTATAAATCACAATACCACAGGGGCCCAGCACTCTGTTTCAACAAGCCCTCAGGGTGGTTCTGTTGCACGTGAAAGTCCGAGAACCACTTTCTAGACTCTAAAACTGTGCAACTCAACACCCGGACCCAGGGCCTGGCAGCATTGGCATTACCTAGGAATTTGTTAGAAATGCAGTATCTCAGCGTCCACCTAAGATTTACTGAATAAAAATCTTTTAAACCAAGATTCCCAGGTGATTCTTATAAACATGAAAGTTTGAGAACCATTGCACTTGTGATTGGACCTGTAGTCAACCTGGCTTGTAGGTCACAGGTAGACAGGATTATTTTAAAGAAAGATACGTTCTCCTCTCTCTCTGTTCCAGTGGGCCCCCTTTAGTCAAAACCTGGGCATCTGAGAGACAATGATCATGCTGGTCTGAATCACCAACTTGCTGGGTAGCAGGGAGCAAAAAATTATTTTCCTTGTGAATTAAAGATATATCCACTTCTTCCTGCTTAAACTGTCTCATTGGGTTAACTCAGTTACTTTGGGGTAGATGTTCAATCTTTCAAATATACTCCACCTCTCCTAGCTCCTCCCATGAAGGCTCTGTGAAATGGAAGATGCTTATATAACCTTGTGGTGCCAGGGGAAAGGCAGGGTTAAGCTACTCACATGGCATTCTGTGCAAATTAGAAAAAGATGTGTCTTCCTTAAGACACTCTCCTTCCAGTGTTGGGACATTGTCACACTGATTTTGTTAGAACATGTTGCTGCCATATGCTCTAAAACTGCCATAATAAATGTATGAATCTATGATGTCTGTGAAATGAGTGTTGCCCTACAGACATGGATTTCTTGTGCAGTGCTCAACCTGCACAACTGTTGGCTAATCTCTAGTTTTGTACCACATTGCTGTGTATCAGGATGCATACGGGACTTCTCCCAGAGACTTGCAGCTCCCTGCAGGGAAAGCGGATTATTAGCATTGACTATTCTCCCCTACACACTCTGAAGTTTCTGCTGCTCCTCAGGCCATGAGGTTCCACATTTGCCTCTGATGTCCTCATTGTAATTCTTACTACCTCCTCCCTACAGTCCACTGGAGTCAGGCGGCCAGGCTTTTCCATTTTCTTGCAAAACAGGAACTTTTGTTTACATCATGGCTGCATCATCACTTCCCTTGGCTTAAAGAAAAATCCAAATTTAAATCATCCAGGCCTGGTTCTTGGTATGAAATGGGAGCCCAAGGGATTTTAAAAATTCTTTTCTTTCTCCATAATGTCTAGCTTTTGAGACTCTGCTCTCGAGTGACTCACAATTAATATTAGCTTCCCTTTTCTAGCTAAAATTCTCCCTTTTCCTGAAGCATGAAAACATATTGCTTCAGGGGATAGGTCCCTCGGGCAGCAATATTTTCTAGATTTGAAAATATATCAGGAAAGGTCTCACAAAAAATTGTATTATTGTACCTTTCTCTTGTGGGACCTTATTGAGGGCTATAAAAAGAAGCCCAAAGACTCCAATGTCTTGAGTTTTTCCTAACAATTCCCTAATGGGAGAGCTTTGGTAGGCATTTTCTGAGTCCCAGGACATAGCAGAAAACAGTTGATGAAGCAGTTATTTTGCTACCATTTAGTAACAAGGGCTGCCAACATCGTTCTCAATGGTGAAAAATTGAAACCATTTCCACTAAGATCAGGAACAAGACAAGGTTGCCCTCTCTCACCACTTTTATTCAACATAGTTTTGGAAGTTTTAGCCACAGCAATCAGAGAAGAAAAAGAAATAAAAGGAATCCAAATCGGAAAAGAAGAAGTAAAACTGTCACTGTTTGCAGATGACATGATACTATACATAGAGAATCCTAAAGACGCTACCAGAAAACTGCTAGAGCTAATCAATGAATTTGGCAAAGTAGCAGGATACAAAAGTAATGCACAGAAATCTCTTGCATTACTATACATTAATGATGAAAAATCTGAAAGAGAAATTAAGGAAACACTCCCATCTACCATTGCAACAAAAAGAATAAAATACTTAGGAATAAACCTACCTAAGGAGACAAAAGACCTGTATGCAGAAAACTATGACACTGATGAAAGAAATTAAAGATGATACAAATAGATGGAGAGATATACCATGTTCTTGGATTGGAAGAATCAACACTGTGAAAATGACCATACAACCCAAAGCAACCTGAAAATTCAATGCAATCCCTGTCAAACTACCAACAAACTAGTTCTGTTTGTTCTACAGAACTAGGACAAAAAATTTCACAATTTGTATGGAAACACAAAAGACCCCGAATGGCCAAAACAATCTTGAGAAAGAAAAATGGAGCTGGAAGCATCAGGCCCCTGGACTTCAGACTATACTACAAAGCTACAGTAATTAAGACAGCATGGTACTGGCACAAAAGTAGATATATAGATCAATGGAACAGGATAGAAAGCCCAGAGATAAACCCATGCACATATGGTCAACCTTATCTTTGACAATGGAGGCGAGAATGTACAATGGAGAAAAGACAGCCTCTTCAGTGAGTGGTGCTGGGAAAACTGCACAGCTACATGTAAAAGAATGAAATTAGAACACTCCCTAACACCATACACAACAATAAACTCAAAATGGATTAAAGACCTAACTGTAAGGCCAAACACTATAAAACTCTTAGAGGAAAACATAGGCAGAACACTCCATGACATAAATTACAGCGAGATCCTTTTTGACCCACCTCCTAGAGAAATGGACATAAAAACAAAAATAAACAAATGGGACCTAATGAAACTTAAAAGCTTTTGCACAGCAAAAGAAACCGTAAACAAGATGAAAAGACAACCCTCAGAATGGGAGAAAGTATTTGCAAATGAAACAACTGACAAATGATTAATCTCCAAAATATACAAGCAGCTCATGAAGCTCAATATCAAAAAACAAACCACCCTATCCAAAAATGGGCAGAAGACCTAAATAGACTTTTCTCCAAAGAAGATATACAGATGGCCAAGAAACACATGAAAGGATGCTCAACATCCCTAATCATTAGAGATATGCAAATCAAAACTACAATGAGGTATCACCTCACACCAGTCAGAATGGCCATCATCAAAAAATCTACAAACAATAAATGCTGGAGAGGGTGTGGAGAAAAGGAACCCTCTTGCACTGTTTGTGGGAATATAAATTGATACAGCCACTGTGGAGAATAGTATGGAGGTTCCTTAGAAAACTAAAAATAGAAGTACCATACGACCCAGCACTTCCACTACTGGGCATATACCCTGAGAAAACCATAATTCAAAAAGAGTCATGTACCACAATGTTCATTGCAGCTCTATTTACAATAGCCAGGACATGGAAGCCACCTAAGTGTCCATCGACAGGTGAATGGATAAAGAAGATGTGGCACATATATACAATGGAATATTACTCAGCCATAAAAAGAAACGAAACTGAGTTATTTGTAGTGAGGTGGATGGACCAGAGACCGTCATACAGAGTGAAGTAAGTCAGAAAGAGAAAAACAAATACTGTATGCTAACACATATATATGGAATCTTCAAAAAACAAAAAATGGTTCTGAAGTAGCTAGGGGCAGGACAGGAATAAAGACGCAGACATAAAAAATGGACTTGAGGACACAGGGAGGGGGAAGGGTAAGCTGGGATGAAGTGAGAGAGTGGCATGGACATATATACACTACCAAATGTAAAATACATAGCTAGTGGGAAGCAGCCACATAGCACAGGGAGATCAGCTTGGTGTTTTGTGTCCACCTAGAGGGGTGGGATAGGGAGGGTGGGAGGGAGATGCAAGAAGGAGGAGATGTGAGGATGTATGTGTATGTATAGCTGATTCACTTTGTTATACAGCAGAAACTAACACACCATTGTAAAGCAATTATACTCCAATAAAGATGTTAAAAAAAAAGTAACAAGGGCTGCTAATTTCATAAGCTAGAGCTGTCCCCATTGTCCTTTCCTTCAGACCTCTTCAACCCTATTTCTTCAACAATCTTAGTCTGTAAGACTAAGATTCCTTCACCTTCACCTTCACTTCCATGTGCACTTCCACATTCCATTAGGACCCTAATGGAACCCTTCGGGGTTCAAGAAAGGAAAAAAAATCTGACTCAGACTGATTTACAGAATAAGGAGGCTGATGTGGTCCACATAGCTGCCATGTGCGGAGAATCATTGTCTCAGAAGACCCAGCTCCAGTGCTCTGATTCCCCGAGTTCTTTCTTCCACGTGTTGGCTATTTCATGACCACAAAATGGCCACGGAGATTCCAGGAAGCTCATCGTCATTTGACATCATCCAGAGTGAAACAAAGAGCCTTTGTCCCAGCATTCTAAGCAGGTTAAGCCACCTGGACACCACTGAACCAATCATAGTTCCAGGGAATTGATCTATTTTGATTGGCTTAACTTAAGTACATGCTCCACTCCTAAGAAACCACGTGGATTTTGAAGAGAATGTCGACCTGATGCACAGGACTCTGGGTCATTAGCTGGCTTCTAGTCAGTCTTGTCAATGAGCCCTGGCCCCAGGATAATCAGGGAGGCAGCAAAGAATAACTG